AATGGACTGACTGTTCTTGGGGGAGGGAAAGCGGTGTGGGAGATGCGGGAAGAGACTGGACAAAAATCATGCACCTATGGATGAGGACAGTGGGTGGGGAGTAAAGGAAGAGGGTGGGGTGGGAACTGGGTGGAGGAGACCTATGGGGGGAGGGAGAGGAACAACTGTAATAATCTGAACAATAAAGATTTAATTTAAAAAAAATAAAAAATAAATAAACAACCTCTTAAATGTATTTTACACTTGGAGGAGATTATACAGAAATCATCTTATTTGCATTTTCACTAAATGACTAAACATTTTAGCCATTATGCATATGCTAAAAGTACAAATAATTTGATTTTGATTTATACCTTTTTTTAAAGGTGAATATATCCATTTTTCATTCATGAAAATCTTAGGAAAAGAAGTATTACAAAAGAGAAAACAACCTAAAACTCTCAAAATAAATAAATAAATAAATAAATAAATAAAAATAGACAGTGGATCCATGTACGCTAATTCTGTTTTCAGTACTTTTGTCAACAATATCAAATTTGTCATAAAACTAGTATCCCTTATAATTCTCAAACAATAATGAAGTAAACCAATTGTACTATTAAAATGCAATTATTAAAACAGAAAGGGGGAGACAGATGTTATGTGTCACCTCAAATATATACTCTGTCATGATTTTTATATTTTAAAGTTTGCTTTATATTTTAAATTTTTTGAATTGTGATGCAGAGGGTTGTACAGCAGCCAGAAGGCATCAGGCCTCCTGTACAATAGCCTCCGCCAAGTTAGCCTGGTTGAAGAAAGCAAAAACTAGACAAAAGTTTTATCAGATTCAATAATAATGTGGGGAAGAGGTTGTGTTTTGTACCTTTCCAGAAGGAACAGCTCAGCCAATCTGGATGCCAGAGCATTACGTGCATCACTATGATGGACCCAGAGAAGCTGCTTGTCCCATCGTTCGAGGGACTGAAAGTTGCCCTGATGACAGTGATGCAGAAGAGGAAAACGAAAACTACGTAAAAGACTGAAGTGTCAACATAGGGTCAGCTGAAGAAGTTAACAACTAAAGTCAGCGGAGGTGAAAGTTATAGCCTCAACCATATTTCTGGATATGCTAACACTGGCTACCTGCCAGTCTTCTATAAGGCCTTGCACAGCCAAGCCTAAGGACTCTGAATAAATACACCAGCAGCAAAAGAGATATTCAGTTAGTAGCTAAAAATGTTAACATAGCTAGAGTTTGATTTCCCTCTTATTGTTTTGTTTGCATTGCTATTGTTTTTTTATTAGTTTTATTTATTCAAAGTTTTGTTTTTGATATTAAGTTTTATTTTTAACTTTAGTTGCTTAAATATAAAAATCGGGGGAGATATGGAGGGCTGCTGGCTAGCACATTCAGGCTTTTTTTAGATATCATCAACTGAACTCAGGGCGCAGGCAGAGCCATGCCCTGGGGGCTGTCCTAGTGAAGAGGCTAGGACGCCACTCAGTCTGACTTTCCTGCCCAGGTGCTAAGGGGGGTGGGTCCTATTATGTTGCCAGGAACTCAAGGCCCACCCAGATGTGATGTAACTTCCTGTTACTTTGAGTATAAATAAACTTTCCACCGTGTGGGAGGGGCTCTGTTCATCTATCAGAGGGCAGGCGCCACACCACACCCAGGCTCAGCTTTCCCTCTACGTCTGTCTGAGTCTTGTTTTACTCATTTTTCCTTAAACCTCATGTTCTACACAAGAATTCATCAACCCCCATGTTCTCTCCGTCTGTGCTGGCCACGGGAAGAGAGACCCCTCCCCGCCTCATAGTAGGTTAAGCTGAAGTTCATTTAATTATTTTCACTAGGAAATCTATGGTCACATTGATATCAGAAAAACAAGCCAGAAGCAACCTCAAACATTATATTATAATGATGCAAAAAATGATGATGATGATAGATGAGAAAAAAATGAAGCCCAGGGAGGTGCAACAAGTTATCCAAGATCACACAAAAAATTGGCAAAAAAGATAGAAGATTCAAGAACCTAGTCTTTACATGGACCAAAATACTAATGAGCTACTTCACCTTAAGTTCCTAAAACATACATCTGTAACTAGCCAACAGGATGTAAAAGTATGTAAGTTAAATCACAATGCTCTCTAGCATACAATCCCCATGCCAGAGTGAAAGAACAGAGAAGGGGCTGCCTGACATTTGCTAGCTTTTCTGATTTAAGCACCAAAGCATTTGGACTATAAGATTTAGAGACTGTAATACTGGAAAAAATGAAGATATATCTGAGTGATTTCTTATATATAGTGGGAAAAGAGTAGGCAGGCCAGTTTTCAGGGAAGAGTCAGGAGTAAAAGTATTACGTACTGTACACTATGATGGTGATGTTGGCTTGCAGGGCAGTATTGTTTTCTTCCCTGCAAATGTACAAACCATTGTCTTCCATAGTTACATTCCAAATGGTCAAGTTACTATAACTCTTGTACACAGGGGATCCTTGGTACAATTTTCTTTTAATTTCACAGCACCTGGGTGTTGTCTTGGACTGTGGGGTGATAAAAAAAAAGAGAATAATTTCACTTGAGATTATTGAGCACTCCTAGGTACCTAACTTGTCACAGCTCAACAGAAAGCCAAAGAAAATCCCTATGGCAACATGACACTTATCCTGCACTTCTATTATATTACATACGTAACTAATGAACCATGATGTGGTGAAAAATGAAATGCAAGTCCCTTACAAGAGTGGCTTCCTTAAATGCAGAAGCTGCTTATAATTCAACTTCATTGACTTTCTTAGCACTTTGCCTACTTCTTGACCCAAAGTAGGAACTGAGTGAGAATGGCAAAGAGAGAGGATGTGGGTGGATTTGTGAAGAGTTAGAGCAGGGATACTGTCCTTACATCTTGCCGATTGAATACCCAGTTCAGTTTGATTCGTCCATTGAATGTGGTCTCTGCAACACATTGCAGGAAAAGGGTATCTCCTATGAGAAGTTTCTGGTGGTTGTATCTGATGGAGATATTTTCTCTCTTGGTTTCTGGAAAATATATCATATGGCATAATACTGACAAAGAAGGCAAGAGACAAAAATCTGGATTATGGAGTACTTCTTAGAATTCTCAATTTCTCATTCCTTTTCTTATATGGAAACGTAGACTCAAAACCAAACCAGAAGAATCCATGTTTCAGAAACTGGTGGATAAGATTTTATATAAATTATATCAAGAGGCTTGGTGGTGGTGCCAAGGCTTATCTTTCTAGTTCTTGAGGTTTTTCAATGAAAATAATTCTGCAATCCTGCTTAGGAAATCATATACACAGTTTAATAAACTCTCCATCAGAAAGTTTTTCCTCCTATTGATCTAAAGCCATTAAGCCCCTCTGTGGCTAATTCTACTACATTTCTGAATTCTCTGAGCAAAGGGTCTTCCCTGAATTAGAAACCTGTTTTCACTTCTATACAGAGCAGCATTGATATAAAGTTCCAAGATGTCATTGTTTAGCCACGATATGTACCATCATTTCATAGTTTTGCAAGGATAAACTTATAAAAGCTAAGTATCTATTGCTAGACACTGATAAACCATTGATTTTATGGATCTATTGAGCAGGCAACTGCAAACAGTAACAGAACTTAGTCTGGGTTTTTTCTACTGAGATACATACAGTTCTTAAAATAAAAGCTTAGAATCACTAGTTATTAAATAATACGGAAGAGATTATAGCTGAAGTAAGGTTTATACAAATAGGAAATGATTACCAGGAGCAACAGGATCCCATTTCCTAACCTAAAAACGTAAGATCACATACCCAGACGCTGTGGGAGATAGAATGACTTCTGTGTCTTCCCATTAACTTCGGCAATACACTGGAGCATGGTGCTGTAGAAGTGGTAAGAGGGTCGGGTCACAATGAAGCCTTTCCTGGGATTCCAGTTTTGGCTTCCATAGGAAAATGTGGCAGAGTGTAACTATGGGGAAAAAAAGGAGGACATAGGAACACATACATGTAAAGTTCTGGCCAGTCATCAGTATCATACCCAAACTATCTGCTCTGAAGCCACAGAGAGGAGTGGCTTGCCCTCCCCCCGTACCCACCCAAGTTTCCTCAGAATTGAGTCTGTGCGGGTTAACCTTTGTTTTCTTCTCAGAGATTAGCACAGTGATGGGCTGAGTAGATACTCAATAAATAATACTTATAGTAATAAACACCAAACACTTACTATGTGCCAGGCACTGTATTAGCTCATTTAATCTTTATAACTCTATGAGATAGGTATTAATGTTACTCTCATTTTACAGATGAAGTTCATAGGGGACACCTTGCTAAACTGGTTGCTTATTATTGGATTGAATATTAAGGCTTATATCTCTTCTGTTGGATATATTTAGAGCCAAAAAGCCTATGCTAAGATTCACTGGGCCTTCTTTTTAAGATATGTGAGAGAATCGCAGCTGTCAGGTTCCACATCTTCTCATGAGGGCCCTTGATATTTACTTACATTCTGTTACTGTAGGTGGCTCTTTCTGCCTCAAGTAAGGAAGGACATATGAAAAAAGACTTTAAGGAACTTAATGGCCCACATGAAGTACATTTGTAGCTTGTGCTCTCATTCATTTAATCAAACATTTAATATTTAATAGTATCTATTATGTGATAGGCAATAGGGATCCAGCTGCAAACAGCACAAACTGAATTCTTACTCTCAGCTAGTGTGTTTCTAAACAGATTTGGATTACTAAATCTTCTTTTGATTGATATAAAAGTAATACATACCAATTGTGAACATTTTTAAAAAATACTGGAGAAAATAAATAAAAAATAATAATGATGACCTATAATCCAGAAATAGCCACTAGGAATAATAAAACATATTTACTTACAGTCTTTTTTCTATGTATGTATATATTGTTACATAGCTGTACTTATAAAGTATATACAATTTATCCTGTTTTTCTCCTATTTTACATTATATAATTAGCATGTTCTCATATTATTAAAAACTCTTCATAAACAATTTTAATGACCGTATAATATTGGCATTCTAATATTTATTTAACCATTCTTTTATTGTTAGATATTTATGTTGTAATAATTTTTGATTTATTTAAAGCAGTGTGACAATGAATATCTTTACGTTTCGATCTTTGCTTATTCACTGGACAAGATCCTTAGATGAACAACTACTGGATCAAAGTGTACAGACATTTTCCAAGCACTTGATATATTTTACCAAAGTCCATCACAGCAGAATATACTAATTTATATCCACTGATATATGAGAAACGACCCTATATTTTAAGGAGGATCTTTACAAATTGAATCATGGTCAGAAGAAGATGATAAAAACTATTAAGGTTCTGGAAGCCTTGTGGTATAAGGAATCATTTAAGAAACAGGACATTTTTAGGGGGACAAAAGAAACACTTGAGGATGGAAAGTGGTAGGTGGAGTTAGTGATTGGTTGGGGATGGAGTGTCTCTTTCCTAGTATTTGAAGAACTCTTACTTGGGAACTTTTGTGTATAACAGAGGGTATAATGGCGACCAATAAGTGGAAATGACAGTGATGCATATTTTGGCTCAATCAGATGGTGACTTCTCTGTCACTGAAAGTATTGAAACAATAGCTGAATGACTATTTGTCCAGGGTGCTATAAGATAATTTTTGCCGAAAATTAGACTCTAAGGTCTCTTCTAACACTGAGGTTCTATCTCTTTTTGACCCACAGTTCGGTTATCTTATCCTTATCCAACAAGAACTACTCGGAGACTTATTATTTTTTCTTTTTTTAAAAAAAATATTTTTATTGATTTTAGAGAGGAAGGGAGAGGGAGAGAGAGAGATAGAAACATTCGTGATAAGAGAGAATCATTGATCGGTTGCCTCCCGCATGCCCCCAACTGAGGGCCGAGCCTGCAAATCAGGCATGTGTCCTTGACCAGAATTGAACCTGGGACCCTTCTGTCCTCAGGCCGACATTCTATCTACTGAGCCAAACTGGCTAGGGCTATTTGTTTCTCTTTTTAACTTTTAATTTTAGTGTTATTGACACTATTACAGATGTCCCCATTTTCTCCTCCCCTTGCCCAACTCCATCCAGCCTCTGTTCCCCTTCCCTATGGCCATCACCACACTGTTGTCTGTGTCCATGGGTTATACGCATAAGTTCTTTGGCTAATCTCTTCACCTTCTTTCATCCAGTCCCTCCAAACACTGCCACCTGACAGCTGTCAGTCTCTTCCATGTATCCATGCCTCTGTTTCTATTTTGCTCATAAGTTTATTTTTTTCATTAGATTCCACATATAAGTGAGATCATATGGTATTTATCTTTCTCTGACTGGCTTATTTCACTTAGCATAATCATCTCCAGGTTTTTAATATCAGGACAAGGTCATCACATATTGTCTAATAACACAAAACCTAGGGTTGAAAGTTTGTCAAACTTTTTTAGTTTCATGTTTTGTTTTGTTTTACTTCTTAAGTATTAACTATTGAATTAAAGCATTTAAAATAATTTTTCAAATATCAGTTTTCACCAGAATATTTGTTGGGACTCTTTGAGAAGCCCTTTTACCATTAGTAATTTCACCATAACATAAATGTACCTAACTACCAGATGTCCCCAGGGAATCTGACAATTAAAAAACAATAGAATAAAATAAAGAAAACACAAGTAACATATGGGATAAATTATAACAATCAAGGAGAGTCAAAACACCTTGAGTTTTTTGCATGTTTATGCAGAAATTCAGTGTTGCAGAAATTCAAAGTACTGGTAAGATACTAAAATGTTGAACTATCTGATTGCAGAGTTGAAATACTCTGTGTCTTAATACTTTTTCCATTTGAATGATTAATGCCTCAGTCCTAAGAAAGCAACTCGTACATTTAATTAACCCTATAGATTAATGGCTCTCAATGAAGGGTTGGGGAAGGGTTTGGCTCCCAGGGGATATTTGGTAATGTTTGGAAACATTTTTGGTTGACAAAACTTGCGGCGGGGAGGGAGGTGGGTATGCTACTGGCATCTAGTAGGTAGAGGCCAGGGATGCTGTTAAGCATCCCATAATGCACAGGATAGCCCCAACCCTACAACAAAGAAGTATCTGACACCACATGTCAATAGTTAAAAAAAAAAACCTGCTATAAGATTTCACCTCCAAAATCTGTTATGCCCTTCCTCTTCCCTTCCATTCTAAATTAGATTTTCCTTATCTCTATTAGACACTTCATTATCCATATTAGACACAATTGCTCAAAATAAGAACCTTTCCTTATTTTTGTCTCTACCCCTTCCTACAAACCATCCCTGACATCCCTCTCACACTAAACAAACATTTCCTTTAACTATGTAGTTTGTGTGAGAGCTGCCATTTTCATATAAATCCTTCCCCTTTGGCCACAGTAATCAGTCTAGAAATGGGCATCAGATTTTAGGTAGGGCAATCAAAACCCTTCCCTGTGATTATATTTTAATTTGAGGTCACATAAGAAATGCCTCACGGTTGTTCTCTGGCAATAAATACTTAATATACTGTAGATAACCACATCCCCCCTGTGAAAGAAGCAAGTCTGTGGTATTCAATAGAGGAGCTGTTACTGAACACATGTCCCTGAGGTTTAGCCATACTCTTCTTTTTAAAATATGCTTTCCATTTTACCTACTAGTTCTAGTTTGTTAGGTTTGGTTGGATTTCTGTTGGTTTCAACCAATAATCCTGGACACTTCATGTTTCAACCAATATTCCTGGATACTCTATTTGTGTTCTTTGCCCAATTATCCACTTAAAGTGCTTCTAGTTATTTATCAGGACCCAGTGTGTCACCAGTTTAAATCCTCAGAAAAGACTGACTCAGGAAAGTAATCTGTTTCTCCTCTCTATTCCCACTGTGTCTGGTACATACAGATATCTAATAGAGAAATTAGACAAACAAACAAATTATTTATAACACACACACAGGAATACCACACTACTTGTAAATCAGGAATTGAACCCTGAGAACATCAATTGTGTATATTAAATGAGATAATGCAAATAAAGTTCTCAGCAGAGTACCTGGCACTGGTAACAGCCTGTAATGCGTTCAATAGTAACCCCTCCAAAAGATATATCTACTTTTGAATGAGATGTTATTTATAAAAGGAATCTTTGCAGATATAATTAACTTTAGGATGTTGAGATGAGATCATCCTGGATTAGTCTAAGCCAGTGATGGCGAACCCTTTGAGCTCGGCGTGTCAGCATTTTGAAAAACCCTAACTTAACTCTGGTGCTGCATCACATATAGAAATTTTTTGATCTTTGCAACCATAGTAAAACAAAGATTTATATTTTTGATATTTATTTTATATATTTAAATGCCATTTAACAAAGAAAAATCAACCAAAAAAATGAGTTCGCATGTCACCTCTGACACTCGTGTCATAGGTTCGCCATCACTGGTCTAGGCCCTAAATCCAACGATATGTGTCCTTATAAAAGACAGGACAAGAGAAGACATACATAGAGACAGAAGGGAGAGACCATGTAAGGACAGAGGCAGAGACCAGTGTTGACCAGCATCAAGCCAAGGAATGGGTGGAGCCACCAGATATTGGAAGAGACAAGGAAGGATTCTCTTATAGAGCCTTCAGTAGAAATATGTGCCTGCCAACACTTTGATTTCAGACTTCTGGCTTTCAGACCTATGAGAGAATATATTACTATAGGCCACTCATTTTGTGGTAATTTTTATGGTAATTTTCTATGAATATATCTGGGCAGTGCTTTGCACAGAGTGAACTTGGTAAATGCGTTGGACTGAAGCAAATTATATTAAATTTGACCTCAGAATGAGTTCTATTTTCCTTCTTCATGAAGTTGGATTTGGTTACTCTTACCATTGGGTAAACTCCCTTAAATATACTGTTGGCTTGCTTTTAACTAAAGTTCACTTCTGATGAAGCTACACTTTAGGAAAAGGAGCACTCTTCTCTCTCCTCCACCTGTTGAGTGTCACTGAAATCCAGTGATGAGACTTAAGTACAAGAAAGGGAATGCAAACACATATGTGGGTCTTGTGAAGACAGAGCAGGAAGTAGAAAATACATAGACAAGAAATTTACTTCCAGTCCTAATGATCATGATTATACAGTACTTTCACCTATATAACTTATTGTATTTTACAAGGCATAATCCATATTCAGTCTCCTAACTGGTTAAGGATCATTATCCAACCTGAGCTCTAGGTTTCCTCATTCTTAGTCCAGAAGCTCTCTCTTTCTGTGGGCTTCAAGAAATTTGCCTGATTCTAGAGACTAGCTCAAGATCTATTTATAGTGTGATAAAAATCCTCTTATATCCTCTTCAGGGGCACCTCTTTAATTCACCTCTCAGATTATAGTTGTCAAGCTTCAGAATGAAAGTGGTGTCTAAGGATTGATATAGGTCTTTAGCTAACAGCTCTTTTAAGAGCAGCATTAAGTTGATTTTTTTTTCCAGAATACAATGAGATAATGAAGAAGCTAACCTGAACTGTGGGAAATGTTGGTGATTAGAAAAGGAAGTGGAATGTTATAGGTTGGTGTCTTTGAAACCCCTTTTAGTGGAAGGGTTAGATTTTTGGATACTATGAAATTGCCTACTCTAATGAAAGCAGCTAAGGCCTTAGGAAAAAGCAAATCCCAGGTTTCTCTTGACTCTCATACCCTGACACATCCTCTGGAGGTAAACTGGCTGCCTAGCGGGGTTTAATTTTAGAAAAGGATGTTTGAATCAGACAGCTCAGTCCCTTCCCTGCCTAGTGCTTCATTTTAGCAGAGGAAAGAGACGCAGTGATTTCAAGCTCTACCAGAGGAAGAGGGGAAAAAAGCCTGTTGGGTGTGCCAGAACACCCTCCCTGCCACTAGGTAGAGAAAGGATGAGGTGGACAGCCAAGCATATAAGTTATACAGCAGACTGCATCCTCCCTGCTCCACCCATCCTCACACACCACTGCTTCTTTCTGGACCAAGTCCCAAAGACAAGGAGCCATCTTCCTTTTCCCTTTAGAAATAGCAGATAGAATGTCAGGGAAGAGTGGGAGCTGGTGGCTTAGTGAAGGAAGAATGACCACATGGCTCTGAGGACTGCTCCTCTGAGTGTATAACGAACTTTCTAACAACCTTAGGGTCAGGTAAGCCTGGAAAGAGGAGGGTTTTTCAATCAGGATAGTGTGGTCTTCGGGGAGTGGCTAATGGAGTCTACAGTCTTCTGTACATTGTTAGAGGTTAAATTCTTCTGCCTGTGGGCTTTTGCACTTTCTTATGCCACATCAGTTGTTTTACCAGACATAATTTCCGGGCTGACCCATATCACAGCTTTAACAGTGGTACTGACAGAAGGCATTGGAAAAATGCTAACATTCCCTCTAAGGAAAGAAAGTGAAATGATCTTTGCCTGCTTTTGTGGGAGGTCCACACCTTTTTCCTAACAAGAAAAGGAAAAAACGCTTGGGTGCAGAGGAACAGTGCATCCAGGAGAGGAGCAGAGATAATCTTCCATCCCAAAGAAGGTCACAGGATAATAACTGAAACACTTGACAGGGAATCTGAACACCCAATTTTTACTTTTTACTATGACACTTAATGAAATATACATCATAAGCAAGTTCTTCCTTTTCTCTAAGCCTAAGATCTCTTATATATACCGTATTTGCTGGCGTATAAGACGACTGGGCGTATAAGACGACCCCCTAACATTTCCACTCAAAATACAGAGTTTGCTATATACTCGCCGTATAAGACTACCCCCTCTTCCGCACACCTTCCACACACCAAATAAAAGGTAAAACAATATCAGATTTGATTTTAACATTTTAAGCCTTCAAACTCCTCTTCATCATCTGATATTAAAAGTTCATCAACGACATCTTGGTGCCATGATAGGGATGATAGGGGTTTGACTGGTCGACATTTTCTATGCTGTACTGTACAATGGGGCAGTATTGTGGTTGGCTGTTGGCTGTATACAAAGCCTGATTTGATTGGTCCCTGCTCCCTGTTTGCCCGCCCTGTCACTATAGCAGTCTGGTCCACCCTTGCATCAGCATCTCCCTGGGACCTCACTAGTGCGCAAGTGCGAGCTCTTCAACATTCTAACAGGCACCATGATAGCGCAAAATCGCGAATCTTCAATGCATATGTAAAGAAATATACGGTAACCCGAATTTACCACACTCGCAAAATCGCACACAGCCAACCATACACCCAGTATGGTATCGCGATTCGTGATTTTGCGCTATCATACTGGGTGTATGGTCGGCTGTGTGCGATTTTGCGAGTGTGGTAAAATCGCATAACAGCAAAATCGCATAACAGCCGAGCATACACCCAGCAGCGCTGCTGATGCCTGAACGGTATGTGGAATGAAGTGGGCGGGCATCGGGAGGCCACTATGGCACGGGGCAAGCACTATGGGCAGTCTATCTGAAGTGTACCTGGCGTATAAGATGACCCCCCACTTGGAGGCATATTTTTCAGGGCCAAAAAATCGTCTTATACGCCGGCAAATATGGTACAATGGAAATAATAAACCAGCCCTATCCACTTTACAGAGAGTTATGTATGCACTTCAAAGGAGGTGATATACATGAACTATTTTAAAATTTGTAGTAATGTTATGCACCTATGGATTGTGAGAGCTGTGGTAGATGTGAAAATTATCTACAAAGGACATATGTTACTCCATTCATCACCAAGATTGATTTAACTAATCAAGATAGATGGGTTTGTTTCCCCTTTCTCTATTCTTCTTGAGTATTCCCCTGAAAACTATCCACCATTTTCTCTCTATTTAAGAAAAATAACCACTCTGGCCTCAGAGCTCTGCACATGGACAACATTTACATACAATCTACATGAGGTCTTACAGGACATCTAAGCATCCATTGTCTCCCCGCCCCCCTAGTTTTTATAAACTTGTGGTAACACTGCTCCAAGGTAAAATAGTACTATGTCTGCTTCTATATGCTGCTCCAAAGGGACAGACACAACACAGATGGAGCAAGAAATGAGACTGAAATACTGTCCCCTACTCTCTTTACATTTCATAATCTACATAACAGCAAGTTCTCTATCTGAGACCCTAATAATGAAACTTACCAACTGAAGCTTGACATTGACATCAGGAGAAGTAACTCGGCATGGCACAACCACCTCTTGCGTTCCAGGAAACACGGTTATCACCAGTGGCGCAGAAGAGTAGGTCTGCACAAAGACCTGGTTGTCATCTGCAGGAATGACAAATCAGACCAGGATTGCTATTGCCATCAGGATAAGGGTCCATAGTTTTTATATGACACTTGAAGATCGTTATATTTATTTCTATAATTTTATACAGGAAATTTGGTTCAGAGAAGGAAAAGAACTCAACAAAGGGATACAGTGAGGACTTGGAGCCAGGTATCACCTAGGAAAGAAATTTTTCATAAGAACCAGGAAAGCACAAACATCTGTTCATAAAAGTTTGTAAGAGAAATTCATTCCATTAATTTTACCTATTGGGTCACATAATATAAGTCAAAATTCTCATCCACATGATCATGTCTCTGATACTTATCAAATTTTCTGTCATCTAAAATCCTTATTTCTTTTCCATGTAAACTGTTTAAAACCCTATGGATTCCCTGCATATAATGACTGTCGAAACAATTTAAGCTAATATCCATAGTGATTAATGGATTAGGCATATTAAATTTCTATATCCAGGATAATTGTTTATTTGAATGCTATATCTCCTATCATGCAAAAATCAGATCACTGCTCTCCTTTTATAAATGAAAATGCATTTGAATGACTACAAGCAATCTCAAATTACATCTACTTTGTTTTTCTACACTTCTGTGTAGACACAAGACACAATCAATAAATTTATGTGGGCACTTGCAGTGTAGGCACTTCTCATATGGTAAACCCACAGAATGTCAATCTGAAAATAGAGACTGTTTATATTGGATTCCAAGATGGCTGTAAAATAGCTGGAAGCTCCATCCTTTTGCTCCCAACCATGGACTGGAGCTAAACTGCAGAGCAATTGGCTTGAGAGACCAGTTGAAGTATTGTGATCTGAACTATTGAGAACAGAGACCACAGAGGAAAGATAAGAGGAGATATGGAGAGGATCTGGGAAACCCTGCCTGAACACAATTCTATAGGGCAAGGAAGGGAAGCTGAGAGCTGCAACATTCAAGGTACAGGCCTGAGGCAGACCCAGCTTCTGGGTTCCAAAGGCCCTCCCCACCAGACTACTTGGGACTCTACCCTGGTAAGCGTTAGTCAGGCTACTGAGGGCCAGGCAGGGACAGCAACTGATATTGGCTTGTAACAGAGACCCACCCTGTGTGGCCCAGGACCAGCACACCACCATAGCCAGCTTCAGACAATGTCAGAGCATTATCCAGTGAACTCCACAAGCAGCATATTCAAACAGTGATCACAATAGGCACTAAAATTTGCTGAGGTGAACTCCACTTTTTAAAAATATTTTCTTTAGTGTTTTTTTTCTATTTCACTTTTTATTCTTCTCTTTTTTCTTTCATATCTCTTATTTCTCTCTTTTCTTATGTGTTTTTTCTTTTTTATTCAATTTTTCATTTTTATTTTTCTATTCTATATCTTATTTTATCATTACATTTTAAAATTATTGTTTCTTTTCTTTTTCTTTTTTATTTTCTCTTATTTCCTTTCATATTCTGTTTCCTTTTCTTTTTCTCTTATCTATTTTTTTCCTTTTTTCTTTTATTACACATTTAGCCTCTTTTTAAAAAACTTTTCTTGCTGAAACCGGTTTGGCTCAGTGGATAGAGAGTCAGCCTGCGTACTGAAGGATTCCAGGTTCGATTCCAGTCAAGGGCATGTACCTGGTTGCGGGCACATCCCCAGTGGGGGGTGTGCAGGAGGCAGCTGATCGATGTTTCTAACTCTCTATCTCTCTCCCTTTCTCTCTGTAAAAAATCAATAAAATATATTTTTAAAAAAAACACAAAAAAAAACCCAAAACTTTTCTTATTCTTTTTCTCAGTTCTTGTTTTTGTTGGTGGTGGTGGTAGTGGGTTTTTTCAGCTTGGTCTTATTTTGTCTTGTTTTGTTCTGTTAGCACCAGTACAACAGTTTACATGACTTGGTTGGAGTTGAGTCTTATAGTTAGCCAGGTTGAGAGCCAAGCCCATCCATAAAGAGGACACAAGCAATCAAGATTCAATTATAACATGAGGGTCCACATAATCCACACAAGGGACTTTCCCAGAGCTTCCACTCAGGAGATCAAGGAGATTAAACCACTGAACCCCACAGGACACCCACTATTTTAGGCCACCCCAGCAAGACTGTGAGTCATATACTAGTAAGTTTTTCTAATACATAGACACAAATAAAAAAGAAACAGAAAAAATGGGGAAACAGAGAGAACCAAGATGGCAGCATAGGTAAACACCCAGTACATAGTACTTGTTGCCTCTCACAACCACATCAAAATTACAACTAAAAGGCAGAATGGCTACCACCCAGAACCGTGGGAAAACTGGCTGAGTGGAAGTTCCGCAACTAGAGAGGTGAAGAAAGCCATTGAGAATGGTAAGAGGTACAGAGGTGTGGAAAGTGCTGGCACCTGGATGTGCTGCTCTTTTAATCGGGAGGGAGATACAAGCTCCCACTTGCTCTGAACTCCAGTTCCGGGAGAGATTCTGGGAGACACAGACACATATGGGGAGAAACTGGACTATCTGGCATCAGCACAGTAATGCGAGGATGGCTTTCTCTCATAGGTGCTCGCAGTGATCATTGTTCCTGTACAGGGGCGGGGGATGCGGAGACCCGGGGACCTCTGGTGCAGGGCTGACTGGCAGCCATTGCTGTTTGTTCTACCCTGGTGATTCCCAGAGACAAACAATCTAATTAAAAAATAGGCAAATAACCTAAATAGACACTTCTCCAAAGTGTACATACAGAAAACCAAGAAACATATGAAAAAATGCTCAAAGTCACTAATCACCCCAAAGATGCAGATCAAAATGACAATGAGATATCACCTCACACCTGTCAGAATGGCTATCATAAACAAATCAACAAACAACAAGTGGTAGTTAAGTTGTGGAGAAAAGGGACAGAACTCTAGTTCACTGCTGGTGGGAATACAGACTGGTGCAGCCACTGTGGAAAACAGTAGCTGATCAGTTATTCTCTCTCACATTGACGTTTCTATCTCTCTCTTCCTCTCCCTTTCTCTCTGAAATTAAAATAAAGCCATGGTACATTTACACAATGGAATACTATGCAACAATAAAAAAGAACGCTTACTGTTTGCAACAGCATGGATGGACCTGGAGAGCATTATACTGAGTGAAATAAGCCAGTCAGAGAAAGATAAGTACCACATGATCTCACTCATATGTGGAATCTAATGAACCAAATAAACTGATGATCAAAAATAGACCCAGAGACATAGAAGCATGAACAGACTGTTGAACCTCAGAGGGAAGGCAGGGGAGGATAGATAGAAAGAGATCAACCAATGAACTTGTATGCATACATGCATAACCCATGGACACAGACAATGGGGTGGTGACGGCCTGGCGGGCGTGGATGGAAGTGGGCTGGAAGGGTTTAATGCGGGGGAGGGGAGGAGAACTTATGTAATACTTTCAGCAATAAAGATTTTTAAGGAAAAAGAAAGCTCAAAGTGATGGTTTTAAGAATGTTCAACAGCATGACAATGGACATAGAAAACACTATCTGTTCTTCCCTTCTTTAGTATTCATAAAATAATGATTTTGTGCTAGTTATAGCCACCCAGAATAAAAATTTATTTACTCTAACTCCCTTGCAGCTAGATGTGACCTTGTGACTAAATTTCCAATTAAATATAATTAGAAGTCTCTTTCAGGGCAAGGACCTTCTTCTCCTCCTTTCCCTCTTCCTAAATGGCAGGATTTAGATGTGAGGGTTGGCACTTGAGCAGCCATCTTGGACTCTGAGGTAGTATACCAGATCCTTGTTGATCCCTGCAGTAGCAGATCAGGATTGTGCCTACATCTTTATGTCTTGGTTATTACTTAGGGTATTAAGTTACAAATGAACCTAATTCTGATATCAACTCCAAAATGTTTAAGAACATGGCTATATTAAAATATCATATATCATTCTGCTCCCTATTACATAAGGGCAGAGGACACACCCTAATCAGTGTGTGTGTGCTTAGCATCTGTCATAGCAGGTGGCACATTGTATGAATCAACAAATAGAATAAATGAAAGAATGTGAGGTTCCCTTTATTTCCAGCCTTTGGGGATTCTAGATGACAGAGGTAAAATTTAAGATGGTCCATTGAAGGATGGATATGCTTTTTAAGGCAGAGATGGGGGAAAATGCCTGAAGACTTTCCAGCATGGGAGCACCACATGAACAGAGGTGTGGAGGTGGCAAGCCCAGAACATGCTGTAAGCCATGAGATAGACTTACTTTTAAGACTTAGAAATTATAACATGTAAATGTATGCAAATGGACCAACACAGAGGACCCAATATATTGGAAAACATATTCATTAATTTCCTTCATCAAATCTGAGCCTTATCTCTAAGAGTTTGATAAAAAAGTAAAAGTACTTAAACTCTGTTCCAAGCCTCGAGCAGGTCTAAAATTAAGTGACTGAGGGTTCACTTGGAGATAAATTTTCCTAGGCTAATTTTTGTCACTAATAATTGTGTGGAGGATACTGTGAAAGACAAAAGGGTTCAGATAAAAAACCACAGAGGCTCTTGGCCTCCAGGTTTCTTCTGATGTCCCACTGATGTTTGATTTCTTAACATGAAACTCATTTGAACCCAAATGGTTCCAAGAATGCTGACAGCAGTAGAAACAGTGACATCCCAACATCCAACGTGTATCTTAAGCAAGGAAAAAGAGAGGGAGCAGTGCAGCCCAGGGAGACAGACATTTCCCAATCCTGACTTGTTTATAGCCATGAATGCAATGTGAACATGACTTGGAGGACTTGAGTCCTTCAGACAGATAAATGTTCTTCCTTCTTAGTTGCCAGCAAAGACTCTGGTCTTCAAAACCTGAAATTTTTGGTGTTCCTGATCTGGTGGTTAAAAGAGAACTTACACTTGAGAGTGTCAGAATATGGGTTTCACAAGGAGATTCAGATAGGGGCATTTGGAGCTGAAAGATCCCATAGGAACCAACTAGCATAGCTAATTCAACCCTCTTTTTTAGAAGTAGGAAAAGTGACATT